CCACCTGCGTATCGTGGGTGAGAATCCCACCTATCTTCCTTTCGTCCCCAATAGTGGTCGGTCACCCCACCACCTCCATCACAAAACTCCCTTCCTGCTGTCCCCCCATCTGAAGATCCTATTACACCCCTATCAGAGCCCTAGGAGGTATTTCTTGGTGAAAAAAACTCCCCTCGTCGAACTCTTTCAGTTCGACTGCTTTTCCTTTGGTTGTGGTCAAGGGAATCTTGATTGAATTTGGATTAGGGTTGGCCATTGAAACTACTGGTGGAGTTTTTGTTTGCATCTCCAAGATCCTTCTTAACATCTCCTCCACCCCTCCAAATCGATTTTCCATACGGTTTTTTATAGATGAGAACCTTTCTTCCATGGTAGCGAGCTTCTCCCCCATGCTGTTTTTGAATTGCTTCATCTCGCCGTCCAACGTCTTCACATGCTTTGCTGCCATTCATGGTTCTACGTTCCAAACCTAAAAAAAACAGCACAAAAAACAGCAAACTGGAGGAGATATGCAACAGAAATTTTCAAGGAGAACAAAGATTTTGGTCCAGGACACCACTCTGATACCAATTTAATACACCTTGGAGACAAAAATAACGAACAAACAATAGAAAAACTGTAGAAATACTAATGACTGATTTTGAATTATAACTTCAATTTGAAAGCAAGATATAAATGATCTACAATTCGAGAGGTAGATTGACTCTCCCAAACAACTTAGATGCCGCTAATAAGCCCTCAAAGAAAAAGCTACAGCAAACAGAAATAAAAATCTGCATAAAAAACAAATATACCCTAAACTTAGCCTTAAACAAGCTCTCCTACTTCCCTCCTAATTCTGCCCCCCCTTACCTAATATTTTTCTCACTTTTATTGGAAATTCAATTAGGAAATCCTTTCCTAATTGATCCTCTCATAACATAATGAATTTATTCCTAGTTGGGCCTCACCAAATCAACCGAAATCCCCTCCCTGAATTCAGCCGCTTCTTTCTGGGCTGCTGCATCGCTAACCCTAGTAGGATCTTGTAAGTTAGAATGAATATTCTCCAAATTAACTTTGATCCTATGAACTATAATAAGGAACTTTAATTTTTGATGTTTTCCCGAAGCATAATGCTCACAAAACTCTAAAGCTCCAGTCCTCTAATCACAAAACAAGCTTCTCTTGCTCAACTCAAACATATGCCATAACCCTAATCACATCTTTTGTGTAAGATGTTGAGGCATGATTTGTCACTATGTTATCTTGAAGAAAGAACGGGTTCTTAAGTTTCATTGTTCATATCAAATCATGGAGCTCTAAAAGCTTGTAATACTTCACTTTTTGTAATGTATTTACCCGTGTTGTAGTCTAAATGCTTCAAACAGAAAATATTTTTCAAAGCTAGAGCATGTCTCACCTTTGTCAAAATTCTCACAATTCCATCATATGTTTTGATCTAAGTTGCTCCTACCCAGCAATTTCTTATGTTATTTCATCGCCCATAAGGGCATTTTTACCATCAACAGAAATGTTAGAAGAGAAATATTTTTTGTGGGTCAAATGATATGAAAATCTTGAATAAAAAAATCTAATCTTCAGAAAAAGAAACATTTTGATGTTTAGCTATCAAAAATAGATCGACGCTCTTTTAGAGCTAGACTTGTCCTTCTTTTCATCCTTTTCCTTTAGCCCTTGCAGTAATTTGCGATCAAATTGTAATATCCAAATTTATTGCAGCAGTGATTCAGAATTTATTCCTAAACTATAATTTTGATCTTTCACATTCTTCCTTTGTTTTTCTAAGTTTGTCTGTTTCCTTATAATTAATCCCTTATTCGGGCTTTCACATTACACCCTTGTCTTCGACTTATGTGTTAGAAAATTTAACCTCACCTCCATCATGAAGATAGTCTTTCCTATATAAGAAGTGGGTAATAATGGTCATAAGAGGGTGTTAAATAGCATAATAAGTTAAAAGCGTTATCCTCTTTAATCTTTTATCCATTTTTTCTAGATTTAATAAAAGCTTGTTATAGGCATCTAATTGCTCTTGCAGTGATATACCGTCTTTTATATGAAATGCAAACAATTGTTCTTTAAATAGAGATATTTTATGATTAACTTTGTCTTGTAAAGAGATTCTAACCTTTTACCTGTATATTGTACGGTATTATGACCCACTACATTGTGAAAAGTATTGTCTCCAAACTGAGGATAATCGAATAATGGGCTTTCTGATCCATTTCTCCATTTTCATTTATGTCAGTTAGGGAGTCCTTCCCCTTCCAAACTATGAAAACCCTAGGAGAAGTGATCATTTGGAGATCTCTCAATTGCTTGATTTATGAAGGGAGCCAAAAAAATCCTTATACATGAAGAATCCCTTGATGTTTATATGTGATTGAATGTTAGATCGCTCTCTCGAAATCGCTATTATTGCATTTTATTGTTAGCTAACTTATCACCTTCTTTAGTGTGCTTTTCCCCTTTCATTAGCTCTGTCACTTTCTTTTGTTTGCTTATTCGCTTGATCGCCTCTTGATCATACACTTTGGTAAGCTACATAATCAGAAGTTATTGAAGATTATAATCAAGTTTAAGAGGGATTGCAAAAAAATGCTCTTGCTTATTTGATATAATTTCACAATATGATATTTATTAATCTGTGGAAGAGATATAAATGCGTATCACAAGAATTGATATGATGTGCAGTGTGAAATATCGTTTGTTAAAGACTTGTTGAAGTTATTAAGATACATATGGTTGAGCATTGACTAGTATTATAAATTTTTATCAAATAATAACATTATTGATATCAAATTCATTTATTTTTATATTCTTATGCTTGCAAAGGATATTTAAAGCAATTTGTCATAGTTTAGGGCTTTAGGTTTTTTATTTATGACAATTCTTATCAGTTCCCCATCTACTAAAATAAGTGAAAATTTTTAAAGAAAGTATTTAGAAGATGGATGTTTTAGAATTGGTGGAATAAAGACCAAGTATAAATGTAATTTTAGTTGGTGTGATACTAATAATTTTGATGCTATCTCATTAGAAGATAAAGTGATGCCTAGGAGTAATAAATTTAAATATAAGGAAGAATGATAATATAAATGAGGATATTACTGCTAAATTTGTAAATTTGTGGCCATGTGGTTAAAATGGAGAAATGCCTCAATTATTATGCAATTAAAGGATATCATCAGATTTATATGTGAATTTTATAGAACTGCAATTATGTTGTAGATGTATGAATCCAAGTTTTGCCTCAATAAAAAAATGGTTGATAGTTGGATTAATTATGGTGAAAATAAGAATATTTTGATGGATGCATTGCAAAACTAAGAATGATAAATTAAGGAATGATTGTATTAGTAAAATAGTTGGAGTGATATTTAGTGAAGATAGACATTTAAAAATGGATTTAGGTAGTTTGGACATATACAATACAACAACAACAACAAGCCTTTACCCATTATGTGGGGTCGGCTACCTGAATCATTTTTCTCCATTGTGTCCTGTTAAGGGTTAAATTCTCATCTAAATCTTATAAAGAAAGTTCATTTCTAATATTTTCTACCACAGTCTTTTTAGATCTACCTTTACCTTTCTTAACATAAGTCAAATCTAATAAATCTATAAAAAAAAAATCTAATACATCTACTTTCCCAATCGGGTCATCAGAAGGCGCCTTTTTATGTGACCAAATCATCTAGGGCGACTCTCTCTAATCTTATCTTCCATTGGAGCTACTCTAATATTTTCACGTATGTGCTCATTTCGTATTTTGTCTTTAAGAGTAAAGCCACACATCGACCTAGCATCCTCATCTCTACAACACATAACTTAATATTATGCTTCTCTTTTAATGGCCAACATTTTGCACCATAAAGCATTGCAGTTCTCACTACCATCTTATTGAATTTTCCCTTAAGTTTGTGAGGGAGTTTTCTATCACATAACAAGCCCGATGCATTCCTCCATTTCAACCATCCAACTTGAATTCTACTTATAATATCCCCATTTATTTCACCATCACTCTGAACAATATACCCAAGATATCTAAAACTTGTGCTCTTATTAATGACTTGATCGCCCAAAGTCACAATCCCCCCACTAGATTTATTAATTATTATTATTAAAACTACACTTCATATATTCAGTTTTTAGACCTACTTAAACGAAAGCCTTTGGACATATACAATGAAGGGTAAAAATTACAATAATTAGCTGGGTAGACAGAATTAGTTTTTTATGATCAGAAAAGGGCAGTGATGGAACTAAGAAAACTTAAAGTGAATGAAAAATGAGAATTCATAAAGCTAACCCCATATAGTTGACATAAGGATGATATGCTTATATGCATTTGCAACAAATGGAACTTGACGATATCACTAGATGAAGACATTATTTTTTTCAATAGGATTTTGTTAATTTGTGATATCTTCTTTCCTTTTTTTTATCTTTTTTGTTTTATTCTTTGAAACTTACCATGATCCTTTTCATCAACATTTGTTGGTGGTCTTTCAATTTAGGTCGACCTTGATAATTTTTTTTAAGACCATATTATGAAACTAGAACATATGATATAAAATTCATACTTGTGTTTGAATCCATGGTCTCAATAAAAATAGCGACAAAACGAAAAATTGCTAAAAAGTATAACTTATTAGGATATCTTCTTTTTTTCCCTTTCTTTCTTTGCTTCTTGCTTATAGCTTCGAGTTTCACTCAATGGGGAAAAGAAGTAATGATTCGAATCAATAGGAGAGGCCACCTAGTCTACTCTTTATATAGAAGGCCATTACCATCAAAATAATTAGGTTTCTCTATAGACCACGTTTATTAAAGTTCAGGCACACAATTTTTCAAAATTCAGGCTCAATTTATTAGACCACATTTATTGGTCTATTATAGTCCATTTAAGAAAATTCTTATAGTTCTTAAGCTGAGAGAAAAGGTGAAGCTATTTGATCGCCAATTTGTTTTATTTTTTCTATTTTATAAATCAGGCTTTTTGAGTTTAGATTGCGGAGGGACAGAGAAGCATACTGATTCTCTCGGTCTCTTGTGGACTCCTGATGACCAAACTACCTTGGGTGGAACTGTTGCCATATCTACACCAGAAGAGGCTCGCATGCAATACAGAACAGTGCGATACTTCCCTGCAGATGATAATAAGTACTGCTATACATTGCAAGTGCAGAATAGAACTCGTTACCTTGTAAGAGCCACGTTCTTGTATGGAAATTTTGGCACAAGTGATGCCTACCCTACATTCGATATCTCTCTTGGTGCTTCTTACTGGTCAACAATTGTTATATCTGATGAAAATACCATTGAAGTTGAGGAGTTAATTTTCTTGGCTACATTGCCAACAGTGAGTGTTTGCTTATCTAATGCTACCACCGGGCAACCATTTATTTCAACACTTGAGCTCCGCCAGTTCAATGGCTCGCTCTATTTCACAACTGTTGAAACTCAGTATTTTCTCAGTCTTTCTGCAAGAATAAATTTTGGTGCTGAGAGCAATTATTCAGTCAGGTGCGTTTATTTTATGTAAGAGATTTTTTTTTCTTTGACATCGCTTACATTTTGCTCTTATTTAATGAACTAATATTGAAGTGATTTGATCAGCTTGAATACTGAAACTGCCTTTCTATCTTAAAACATAAGATTCTGTCTGCTCTACTTCTAGGTAGCAGTTATATTTTCCATGAAAATTTTGTGAAGGAAACCATCTTCTTTTGTCATTCATGGTATATCAATTCTCCATTTCTTAGCTGAAACTATCACTGTTTTGAAGGCAAATTTCATTTTCTTGCATTATTTACTTGATTGACGCAGGATTCATAGACAGATACATATAGAAATTATTCTCAAGATCATCCATATGCCTCAAAAGGGTTGGTTTTCTAGCATCGTTTTATCTGCTAAGCAGTTTTTATAATCTAATTTGTGGTTCTTCAAATGCTTTGATATCTCTTATTGGATTTATGTATATTAAATTCTTCATGTCGGCATCGAGGCATGATGTTGCTTCAGATTTTGAGTTTGGCAAACAAGGTGATCAAAAAGTCCATGTCCTAGGTTTTCTTATGTACTGAAATCTATTTGTTGTGATGACTATTTCATAGAAATTGAGGTTTCACATCGCTTTTCACATGCCTGACTGCATCTTTCTCATTTGCTTCATCAAGCTAAACATTAGATGTAATCACTCTTACGTGCTAATCAAAACTCATATTGAGACCATTGATTTTGTAAATAATTGCATGATTTACTATTCTTGTGGCCTGCTAGGCTAATATTAGGCTATGGCCGTATTGTTATCTTGGTAACATTCTTCAACTGGCTGTAGTAAGGACATTACAAGGTCAGGAACTTTAGAGGAGAAAACGGTAAAGTTTACAATGAAATTGAATGGTGAATCTATTTGCTTTTTCCAAGTGAAATACTACATGCTGTTTTTCATTACAACTTGGGTAGTATGCAAATGTTTGATTGCACGATAGACATAATGAAGCAAATTTTGGTCTCTTAATAGCTTTTTAACTCTTTGAATGTCTAACACTATAGATGGATGATCATTAGTGACAAAAATCATTTTTATATGCAGTAGACAACATTTACACAACCTTTATGTTGGTTTGTAGTGTTTGCGCATATCATTGATGGCTTAATAGTTTGCAATTTGTCGTTTTGTTATAATGTAGATATTCCTTGGATTCTAGGGGGCATTTTTGAAGTAGGGTATCATCTTACACACAATTAACCAAAAATTTGGTCTAAAACTCCCTAGATTGTTCACTCTTCTGGAAGCTTCCAACTACAAAGTGAATTAGATAAGTTAAAAGAAATTTAGTCTTGTTGGATTAGAAAGGATCTCACTTGGTCTTCTTTAAGAATGGTTGGCTTGTTAAGTGAGGGATCTCTCTTTCACTTCACTCAATGCCTAAGCCGTTTTACTTTCAAACTCATTGAAGTTGTTCACGCTCTAAAGAGCTCAGAATGAGTAATGAGTGAATAAACCCACTTTATCTTTGTATAGGTTGAGTGAAAGGGTGCTTAAGAATATGATTGTTAAAAAAATTATTTTAGTGGTTTTGGTAATGCCACATTAGTTTTCATAGTAATGTTGGAGGTGTATTCGATTGATGCAATCCTATATGCATTTTGGATAAGTTAGGTAGGCCTTCTTTCTTGCTGATTGAATAAGTTAATGTGCTCCCGTCCGATCGAGCCAGCCTTTAGCCCAATGCAAATAAGTCGTCTGACTCCACCCAATTACTCCTAATCGATCAACCCCGTACAGGTGAACAAGGCCTTTGATCCCTCCGGTTTGATTGCAGGAAGGAGTACAAGTCTTGTATTCTTGCTTGTCCTTGAACTCTCTTCTCTTTCTATATGCATGCAATAGGAGGTCCTACGCTCGACTTCTCTCGCTTTTGCTCAGTCGACTCTGGACGTTGCACTCGAGAGGAGCCCTCCCGCTCGATCTCTCCTTGATCTTGGACGCATGAAGGAAGCAGGAGGACCAACATTCCTTAGACTTTTGACAATGAAGGCTGACAGAAGTACCAATATTCCTCAGAATTCCGACAATAAAAGCTGATGGTGGGAACTGTATTATTTATAATTCCAACAATGAAGGCGGGTGGTGGGAATCTGTATTACTCAGAATTTTAGCAATGAAGGCCAGTAGTGGGAACCTGTATTCCTCCAAATTACAGCAATGAGGCTGATGGTGGGAACTTATATTCTTCATAATTCTAACAATGAAGACCGATAATGGGAACCTGGAGAACCAACAAGCGCCAGCTCCTTCAGGGTAGGATAAAGTGCTTCTAATCTCTCTATAGTCTCACCCCGGATATCCACGATCAACTCCATACTTAGGGAAGTAGCGTACTTCACCATTTGTGTGCTCACCAACTCTTCGGTCACCGTAAGCACGCACTGGACCGTAGAAGTGAATTGCCTTACCACAAGGAAAGCCATCTTTTTCCCCATCACGTGCATCATCTAGGAAACTTCACATATCAGGACCATTCCATCAACAAGCTTCAAATCCACCGAACCGACATCAGTCAAAATCCGACCGGCAAGGTTCTAATGATGATTCCATCAGCGACAGTGAAGAGGGCGAGAAAGTGGGTTGCAAAGTGGTCTTCGTCTGATTTGAGGGATATATCTCGGTGGCAGAGATCTTGGAAGAGGTCGACTTCTTCTACTATCTAGAAGGAGGCTTTGACCTTTTTGTACTTCTCCCAGATTTGAGGATAGTGAATATGGAACATGCAGAAGCAGTTGGGATTTGGGGAAAGGAGGGGATCTTCGAGAGGAGGATTTGATGGCATGTATAACAACTCTTCAACTGCTCGTTGATTGTTTGATTTAGCTGTAACACACGCAAAAGGGTTGATTGTAGCTGCTCAGGAATGCACGCACGTAGTTTCTACTTGCTCCTTCTCTTGATCCTCTTCTTCACTCGGTTCGACCCCCAGGTAGGCACGCACGAGAGCTGCACGCGTAAGGCTGCAAAGGGGAAGCCCTCTCACTTGCTTGGCTGCTCTGGACTCACGCAAGCAGGAACAAAATGCTAGAACTAGCTCTCATGCTCTCATTTTTGAAGAAAAATTGAATGCCTTGCTCTGATACCATGTTAAATTCAGAGAATTGGCGAGGGAAAAGGCTTCTTAATTTAACTATACAAAACTATCCCTATATAGATCTATACAAGATATCTTAATAAAGAAACAAACAAATACGAAATCATGCATAATTGCCTTAATATAATCCTTCCTAAATCAACCACCTGAATATGGAAGGAGATTGACATGATCCAGGTGAGCCTCATATGGATCCCCATCTTGGCCATTGGATCAAGGGCCAAGGGACGGTTGTGATTTTAGTAGCTTTCATAGTCATGTTGAGGTATATTTGATTGATGCAATCCTATAAGCATTTTGGATAATTTAGGTAGGCCTTCTTTCTTGTGATTTAACAAAGTGTAATTGTATCATTTTTTATGGACATGTTGGGTAGATTGATGACTAATTTATTTATTTATTTATTTTTAGATTTGTCTGAGAAACTTAGTCAATATGAAGTATTGAGTTTATTACATTAGATTTGGTTACATCTAGAGAAGCTGTTAGTTTTGTGTGGAATCTAATTGTAATGATCAATTGGGTTGTACTTGCTTTTTTTTTTTGGGGGGGGGGGGTGGGGGGTTTTAATGAAAGGGATGTGGGGATTGCGGGGGGTCCCCTGCACCTGGATTTTTTTTTTTTGTACAATGCCTTGATGTTGTGTACCCAAGTGCCTCGACGCTGTATCTGTGAGTGCCCCGGTGTTGTGTTCCCAAGCACCCTGGTGTTGCAAAATTTGTTGGGAGAAATGATAGAGAGCAGAGCTTCGTAACATTCTAGATTCGGTGCTTCAATGCTACGGTTTGAGCACCACAACATCGCCATACCAATCTAAATTAGATGTTTGAGCATCGCAGCGCCCCAAACTGGTGCCGCAAAGCTTCGAGTCGGACTGGACAATTTACTCTCTTTTTCTCAAGGGTGACATCTCTTGGTTTTATTAACTTGACTTTCTCTTTTGTTTTGAGTGTGAGAACGGTGCAAGAGAGAAGAGAAGCAAGGAAAGAGTGAGAGAGAAGAGAGATCTGTATTTATATCTCCCAATTTTCCTAGTGGATTTTTTGGTGTGGCGTGGGTCAATGATTTTTTCCCTATTTCAGGCTTTTTCACGTTAAATCCTCGTGTCATTTGCTTTTCATTTTCTTTCCGCCGCATTTCTATTTTTCTTTTTAATTTCGTTGTGGTGTTTTACTTCCATCCCCAACATAAGCATCTCTTGGAGGGCCTAGTCCTTCACAAATTTTATGATAGACTTTGAAGAAAACAAAATTTGTTATAATTCTTAAAACAAATGAAATACTCACTAAGAGTTTCTTATTTATGGATTAATTGTAGGGTTGTTTGAGCAATAAAGAGGATGATTCTTGGATTTATTGTTTTGACAATCTTGATCATGTCATTTTAGTTTTGATTAGCATCACAACTTTGAACATTTTTGGACTTACATGGTAGTTTTTCTTGACATGTAAGGGCCATTTCACCTTTGGACATATTGGGGCGTCAATGACCAATGTCTCCATTTAAATAGAAATGCATCATTTCTCACTCCATTATTGTTAAAACTCATGCCATACTAATTTGATGAGCACACATCTCATATTGGGAAATTAATTAGTTGGGATTGCCTTAAATCTAACCTAGACCAGTCTTATCATTTGGTTTTGGTTGATTCACTTTCGGCTCACTTTCTTGTGAAAGTGCAATGGCACACCAAGAGGGTCAGTGAATTGAAAATTTTAAAATTTTTCTTGAAACAAAATATTGTGCGAAACAAAGAAATATTTCAAAACAAATGTTTAAAATATATATAAAAGAATTTTTTATTTTTATATTTTATGCAAAATCTCAACTAAAAATAATTCCAGAAACCATATTTTCACAAAGATATGCAATATGAACCAAAAGCAATAAAATAAAAGTGTGGAAAAACTAAAAATGCAAACCAACAATTTTTCTAGTGGTTTGGTGACTAGACCTACGTCCACGCCCCGTGGTCGTCCTTTTTAAGAATTTTACTATGTAGAAAACTTCTTTAGCACTCAGCCAGGTGGAGAACTTTTCTCCCCTACCAGGTGGAGAATGACCTTTACACGACTCTTCTATCCCCAAAAAAGTCTCTCCTTCTAACTCCTAGCATGAGGAGTTGCCAACCCTCTTGCTCCTTGCAACGACGGAGATTCCACTCCCTTAACCTTCCCCTGCTAGCCCCAAGTCTTCACCCAAGACTTATGCAGAAACCCTTTCAAAAACGCTCAACGTAAACTTTGGAGGACATGTACAAGTTAACAAGATTTCCATGTGAATTGCCTCACACAATCCTTGAACACCCTCAAGGGTTCTCTCATACTCACCATCACTCCCAAGGATTTGTTCAAGCTACTCCCAAAGAAGATACATCCTTTCTCTCCCTAAGGACTCTCATAAAATTCCACGTTGAGACTTTCCAAAATCACACCTAAAAAGACTTAGATTGGGCTATTTAAATGAAATCTTATTTTTTCAATTATGTTGTATTGTTTGTATAACGAGCTGTGATTCGTACTATCTGATTAATTAAACACTCATTTTCGAGTTCTATTTGATCGGATTGTATGATATGAACCGTACTGTACGATTAGTTATATCATATCAGGGATTGTCCCAGTTGGACTAATGTTTGTCCATCAAATGTTTTGTTAAATCGTACGGGACGATTTGGATCGTACAACACGATTATCAATCAAGATTTGATCCTAATTCAATTGCTTGATCAACAGTTCAAATTATGTAATATTCATTAATAATCATACAGTACGAAAGATTTCATACAATACAATTAGATCAAATTTGAAAATTTAAATTTGCTTAAATTTGATAACTTAAATTCAACGATGGGTTTTTTATCAAAATAATTGATCGTCTTGTACGATTATAGGTCGTACAGTATGATTAGTTGTGTTGGAAATTAATTTAATTAAAACTTGATTTAATTTTTGAAATAGTTGATCGTATTATACAATTGTGATCGTATAATACGATTGGTATTGTACAATACGATTTAATAAAGAAAATTAAGTATTTAATTTTTTCATCCTTACTCGTGTTTGTTAGTCACCTTGCCAACATAAACCTAATACAGAGTGACTCAAGAAAAAGAAAAATTTACGGACTCGTTAATTTAATTTTGACATTTTCTCTTTTTGATCAGGCTTAGTGTTTGAAGTTGTTTCTTCTGTTTTACCTGAAACGTTGGTAGTACCCAAAAGAAAACTATATATATAATGCAAAGATTAATAAATGACCAAACCAATAATATTTTTAATCATCAAAACACTAGTTCGGGCTCACGAATTTCAACATCTTGAAGTCTTAACTGTTATATAAGGTGGTTGCAAACATTCATATTGACCAAGGTAGCTAAAGATGGATGTAGGCAGCCTATTTGCCACTACTAAAGTAATAAGTTGGTTGATTGTCGATGTCCATGTTGTTAAAGGAGCTTAGTTATGGAAAGGGCTTACTGGTCTGAATGCTTCTCGAGCTGATGGTGCCATCCAATGCACCAGATAGAGCCCTCAAAGGGGCTACAATGTTAGTATTTGTAGTATGCAAATCACCATGTAATGTGTCCATTCTTATGGATGCTGTACAATTGGTTTCAAAAGGCCCATATTATGGTCTAGTTTTATCTTTCGTTTGCAATTGCAGGAGGGATGTGTAAAATTGTTCTTGTTTTTTTTACTTGTGGGCAGTGATATGGTCTTCAACTAGGAGCAATGAGTTGAGTGGTGGCCAAAAGCATCCCCGTTAGCTTGATTGACATTGTGTATAGGGAATTGGTTGTTGTAGCTAGGTCCCACAACAAAGAGCTGGGATCGAGATAGGAGTTCATGGTGCTCTTTCATCTATGATTCTCTATTTTTATTCCTTGCAATATTTGAAATCATAGCCCCTTTTTGGTGTTTAAAGGTTTCTATGGATTATATACAACCTTGCCTCAAGATCCATGATGTAGTATGGGAGATTTCTATATTGTGAAGCCTAATTTTTTTGCCTCATGAATAAAATACACTATGTAGACTTAGTCGTTGATCGACCTTTTGTGGTATGGTCGACATGGGGGTTGGAGAGGGGTGGAGATCACCCTCTTAGATGTTTCAGGATGGAGCCCTCGAGAAGTATCAAATATTTGCTTATTATTTCATTATTTTTTTTAAATATTGTATTTTTTGGCAGTAAGTTTTTTTTTTTTTTAATAAAGAGATGTTTATCAAAGGAATTTGGGTTTTAATTCTTCACAATAAAATCATAGTGAAGTTTGCATTAACAATTACAAGAAATGGCCATCAATTGGGTGAAATTTCACCTATTCCCCAAAATTCGGTTTTGTAAATTATAATTGGGCTGTTGGATTAAGTATTTTTATTAGTTAAAAGTTCAAACCCCTTTTCAGTACTTATAGATAATGCCTGTTCTTTCCATTTGAAACACTTAAAGAAATAATGTAAAATTTTAGGTACCCTGATGATCCATTTGATCGAATTTGGGAATCCGATTCTGTAAGGAAGGCAAACTATCTTGTTGATGTAGCTCCTGGAACTGAAAAAATATCTACCACAATGCCTGTGGATGTTAGCTATGGTGAAAGGCCACCTGAGAAAGTGATGCAGACAGCTGTAGTAGGTCGGAATGGATCTTTGGGTTACCGCCTGGATTTGGATGGTTTTCCGGGATTTGGTTGGGCTTTTTCATACTTCGCTGAAATCGAAGATTTTCATTCTGATGAGACGAGGAAATTTAAGCTCTTTATTCCGGGCATGCCAGCAATAAGTAAACCCACTGTTGATGTCCAAGAAAATGCTCAAGGACGGTTCCGGTTATATGAGCCAGGGTACTACAATATCTCCCTCCCATTTGTATTCTCCTTTGAATTTAAGAAGACAAATGATTCATCCATGGGACCAATTTTGAATGCTTTAGAGATATACAAGTATCTGCAGATAAACTTTGGCTCTAAAGATGGTAAGACTGCATTTGTCTGGTTTATATTTAAAATGTGATATTTAAGGTGAATTAGTCATGCTTAAGCTCCTGTTCTATTTGCATGATTATATTTCAGCGTCTATCATGGCTAGTCTTGTTTCCCAATACGTACAAGCAGATTGGGCGCATGAAGGTGGTGATCCATGTCTACCAGCTTCCTGGTCCTGGGTGCAGTGTAATTCAGATCCACAACCGAAAATTGTTTCCATGTAAGAAATAATGATTCAATCAGTTTCGTACTTTCAGATTTTTTTCTATGATTAAATTTATGTTGTGAAGATTTATTTATGCTAACTCAGAATTTTATCTTAGCAGTAATTTGTCTGGAAAGAATCTGACAGGGGACATCCCTTTAGAACTAACAAAATTGACCGGATTAATTGATCTGTGAGTTTCAATTGATTTATTTAATGCAAGCATGCATGAACATCTCATTCTCACGGCCATCCTGTCTGCTGAATTTTGCAGGCGACTAGATGGTAATTTGCTTACTGGTTCAATACCTGATTTTGGGGAATGCATAAATCTAGAATCCATGTAAGAATGCAAATATTTTCTGTCACAGCATAGTTTTTTTCTTCATGCCTAAGGTACCTTTGTTTTGTTTATTATTGTCGTTGTAGTCATCTAGAGAACAATCAGTTGATCGGGACCTTACCTTCAACTTTTGCAAACTTGCCAAACCTAAGAGAACTGTAAGTTTCTCTCTGTATATAGTTGACAGAATGTCAACTATAATCTTTATTTCCAGTGCGTGAATTGGAGCTTCAAGCTCTTTATTGTTAAGTCTTACACACTTGCAACCAACTAACCTAAATGGTCAACTTTTTATGACTTAGGAATAACTTAATATTGTGATAAAGTCCATGAGAGCCATTCTCATATGGCTTTCCACGCATGAGCAAGCATTGGCATAGAATAACTCATATATGAATCGTTACAGTATAAAGTTATTACATTTTGCAGTTGTGGCCCAAGAATATTTACATGTCGCTAAAACCCATCAATTGTTAGCCATTTTAAGAAGTTTATCTCTTCAGAAATTCCCAAGGAATTGCATATGGAATTATTTTGTTGGCATTGATATGGCAGATGTGAAAGTGTCATTTTCCATTATGAATTTTGATTGTTAACAACCAATATTAAAGTTTTTAACAAATTTTTTTTCCTTTTGCAGAAATGTAAGGAATAACAAGCTGTCTGGAGTGATCCCACAGGGACTCATTGATAAACATATCTCCTTCAAGTAATTTGCAAGCACGTTGAGTTGGCTACATAATTCATGCATTTAAGATGTATCGTCTTTTATAGGTTCAAACAATGTGCATATATCACATATACCTAAGTGAAGTTCTCTTTTTCTTTCTCATCTTCAGATTATTCTTGATTTAACTAAATCTCAATCTAGTGGTGACAATGAGTTGAGTTTGAACAAGTTGGCCCCTACTCAAACTCAATGATTTCAACTTTTGGCTTGAGTTAAATTTAGGTCTAAGTGGAAAATGAACAGGTTTTAGTCAACTTTGAGTTGACTAAACCAAGCCTAATTATATTTTTCCTAAATTCTAAATTGTTTTAAGACATAATTATTTAGTTTAGTTCCACAATAGATTGTTAAAATATTGCTAAAACATATGTTGGTGTAGAATGTGGTTGGCCATAACTCATATGTTTTGATTCTTGGTTAAAAATGAATTTGAATATTAGTGTGATAGGCCCAACTTTGGCCTTCATTTGATTCCACACTCCTTAATAAATAGTATCATAATCAAATGTTTAGGTGGGATTAACTGGTTTATGTTGTTTATAGCTCCCATGATTCTTTAATTTCCTTAACGATGGTAGAGCAATATTCTAGAGCGTAGGACTCTCATGCTATATCTACATAGTTAAGTGGGCTTTTGGAGCATGATGTTTGATGATGTTAAAAAAATTCATTTAAGTGGAAGTGATGACTGGTATGGAGAGCTCTCATGTGATGGGGAGATTGCTAAGACATGTGAGAGTATTGGTTTATTCCTACTTCGGATAGTTAGAAAAATATGTTGGTGTAGGATAACAAGTGATTGGATCTCACCATAAGCTTAAGTTTTTGAGTTGAAAATATGTTTGCCCCCCTTTAGTTTATTCTTCCCTAACAAATGGTTTTAGAGCCAGTTTGTAAAGTACAATAGGCCATAATAAGCCATGAAGTTTGAGATAAATGATGGCTTGTTGACCTGTATGAAAAAAAAAAAAAAAATCAAAATCACGCTCATACCTGTAGCGTCGGACACAGCACGTCGAGATTGTGCCCAAATTGCGAGTATCCCGTGACCCGGACATCCCACGCACATCGAAGCCGCATACCTTCGCACGATCTCCGCCACCATCCTCACCTTCTTTGTGTCGTTAAATAGAGAGAGAGAGAGTTGCACTCCTCGGTCGACAAAAATACCCTCTCCTCCCCACTCGAAAAGAGCCGCAAGCCCCCCATCTTTCTCTTTTTCCGAAATCCCTTCGCCTCTCCCAAAGCCAAATCCTCTCCTCCTCCCTGCTGACCCGACGTCCCCGCCCTAAATCCCGTCGCTGCCTCCCAATTCCTTGCAATCCAGAGAGAGGGAGATTCCCCTACCTCCTTCGTTGTCGCCCACGTTCCCATTCCTGTTGGGTCGAAAATCCTGACTTTTTGATCGAAAGCAAGAATGGGAGCACGCTGCATTGAAGGTAACTTTTTTCGTTCGCATGCTTCTTCGGTCAAATCCCATAAGACTGCCGAACCAGAGAGGATAATAGGAGATTTAACTTAGAATGAATCATGTATAAATCTTGTTATAGTTTCCTATGCAAATCTTATTCTTTAACATTAATTACGATTATTCATAATTATTATTTTTATTTAATTATAATTAATTATTAACAATTATAATTAATTACTATTAAGCATAATTAATCATGATTAATTATGATTAATTAATTATTAATCATAATTTATTATAATTAGTTATTTTTAATATTCCAATAGAGGTGTGGAAATGCTTAGGAGATGAAGGGATTTCTTGGCTTACTAAACTTTTTAATACTATTTTGAAGACTAAAAAGATGCCAGATGAGTGGAGAATGAGTGTATTAATTCCTATTTTTAAGAATAAAGGCGATGCACAAGATTTGCACGAATTATAGAGGTATTAAGTTAATGTGTCATACTTTAAAATTATGGGAGCGAGTTATAGAGCATAGGTTGCGGCGTGATACTAATGTTTCTCAAAATCAATTTGGATTTATGCCGGGTAGGTCGACTATGGAAGCCATACATTTATTCAGAGGTTTGATGGAAAAATATAGAGGAAATAAGGAGGATCTACATATGATATTTATTGATTTAGAAAAAGCATATGATAAAGTTCCAAGAGAAGTGCTATGGAGAGTTCTTGAAAAAAAGGAGTCAATAATGCTTATATTCAAATCATTAAAGATATGTATGCAAGAGCTATTACTTGTGTTCAAACACAAGGTGGATTGACCAAGTATTTCCCTATTTCGGTTGGGTTACATCAAGGATCAGCCTTAAGCCCATATCTATTTGCTTTAGTCATGGATGTTCTCACTAGACATTTGCAAGATGATGTACCTTGGTGTATGCTTTTTGCAGATGATATTCTTCTGGTTGATAAGACTAAAGAGGGAGTTGAAAGTAAAGTTGAATTATGGAGGTCAACCTTAGAGTCTAAAGGTTTTCGCTTGAGTAGATCTAAAACGGAATATATGGAGTGTAATTTTAGCAGTAATAGTCCTAGTGAGGGGATTGTGACTTTGGGCAATCAAGTCATTAATAAGAGTACACGTTTTAGATATCTTGGATCTATTGTTCAGAGTGATGGTGAAATAGATGGGGATATTATCAGCAGAATTCAAGTTGGATGGTTGAAGTGGCGGAATGCATCGGGCTTGTTATGTGATAGAAATGTACCCCTCAAACTTAAGGGAAAATTCTATAAGATGGTAGTGAGGCCTGCAATGCTTTATGGTGCCGAATGTTGGCCATTAAAAGAGAAGCATAATAATAAGTTAAGTGTGGCAGAGATGAGGATGCTCAGGTGGATGAGTGGCTTTACCCTTAGAGATAGGATACGAAATGAGCATATACGTGAAAAGGTTGGAGTAGCTCCAGTAGAAGATAAAATTAGAGAGAGTCGCCTTAGATGGTTTGGTCACATAAAACGGCGGCCTTCCGATGACCCAGTTAAGAGAGTAGAGGTATTAGATTTGACTTATATTAAGAAAGGTAGGGGTAGACCTAAAAAGACTTGGTTAGAAAATATTAGGAATGACCTTTCTTTATTAGATTTAAACGAGAATTTGACTTTTAATAGGACACAATGGAGAAAAAGGATTCATGTAGCCGACCCCACGTAGTGGGATAAAGGCTTGATGTTGTTGTTGTTGTATACAATGACTTGATCACATAGAAACCCCCAAAAGCTGATACAAATTGTAAAATATGATTGTGCCATATATTATGAACTACAAAAATCAAGTTGGCCATGATTCACTATTTTATATAAATTTCATAATAAGTTTATTTCAATTATAGTCTTGTGTTTCCATGTTTAATTGTTTCTCATCAATCTTGTATGTAGCACATCTAGTACGTACAACTAAAAAATAAAATTTTAAATTCTTCATTTGGCACTTTCTTTCATCTTGACAGTTTTAAATTTTGCCCACTTTATGAGATCACACTGCAGCATGTGATTTATTTGAAAGACCAAGGGTACATAATGGATGCAAGGCATTTTATACATTAGATGATATCAAACATACAATAATAGATGGCAATAGAAATCAGCAAGGTGATATTAATTGTATTGCCAAATTTTGTGATGACATTGTGCCGAGGAATGTTTTAGATGACAAAGGCATTCGTCACAAGGTCACTCAACAAAGGATTGTAAGTATGTAAATATAATAATCCCATAGGCATCCATAAAGTAAAAACAAACTAAGCAGCTAATAATGTTTGTTCAGCAACAATACTAACAAAATACATTTTGGTTGCAATGGAAGGTTATATTTGTATAGATTGCTGTCAAGACAGGCGTTCCGGCTTTATCAACTTTTCATTTTCATTTACTATACAAGTCTCTTTTTTTTTTTTTCAATAACAGTAAATGTGCATGATAGCTAGTCAGCCGTTAAGGCACTCTTCTTGGTTTATTTTAATTCTCAGTTGCAGCTCTCAGAACACGAACATCAGAAATGGAAACTTACTCAGCTACTCTTTTAAACGTGCATACTAATCCAAGTTTCAAGAAATTCCATCAATTAACACTAAATAAATAAATAATTAATTAGATAAACATAAAATTCATCAGGAATTGACCTTCATCAGACAACTGGTTAAAAAATCCAACGTGACGCAGGGATGCCAGAGAACTGAACAGTTAGCAATCACCATTCTCAGAAATTCAAGATCATCAAGCTCATGTTCAATGCACACAATGCAGGCTCGAGGCAAGAGCCGTCAAATATACACATGCGGATTATGAAGGAAAAATGCCAAATCCCTGGTTCATATTGACTAAAGAAGTCGAAATCCAAAGCTCCGGGCCATTCAGCTGCTGCTCATTCTTTTAACAGCGTCCTCCCTTTCAGATTCCAATCATGCATTTGTATATCAGAGAGAAAAAAAAAAGTTAAAAGAACGGAATTAAACATCCTGAGTTCAAATAACTGGGGTTGCAAACATCCATAAGAGTGATGCAATGATTCTATAATTATGTTATAATGAAATTAATAATTAAAACAATGTTTGAAAAATAGGACCGATCAATAGGTTAACTTTAAAAACCGGTGTCACATCAAACTGGATGGAACTGACTACAATTACGGGTTCAAATGAATTACTGTTGAATTGGTAGAATTAACCAGTGCAAATAATGCAGTAATAAGCAGGATTGCTCAATAATATAAAGGATTTTAACTCAGAAAATTACTCATAATAATAAAAACAATAAAATAATAATAAGCTAATAATGATAATAATAATAATAATAAAAGATAAATAATTGAAAATAATAGTAATAATAATAATAAATAATAATAATAAAAGTAATAATAAAAAATAGTAACTAAACTAATTAAAATAATAATAAGTAAACTAATTATTGATAATCAAAATAAATATAATTTAAAGTAATAATAATAAATTAATTAAAAAAGGTCAAATCACTATTTTAATGATATTTCAAAATTTATATAATATTTTTAACTAAAATTAATTTTAAATTAAAGATGATTAAAATACGAGCAATTTGATGTATTATGCGTATTTTTCGGATAAAAATGAATTTTTCTATGAATTTTTGAGTGAAATCTGGTTTAAAATACATTTAAAATTAATTTTAAACATAAAAAGACGAACGGACGACACGTGACGGGCTGCTACTGGCTCCTGGAACCGCGCTCAATCATTGGCGTCACCGCCAATCATTATGCAATGATTGCGGCGGCGATAAGGCTCACGTGTTTTCCACTTAACTCAGTCAGCAACGCCTCCAGCCGTTGGATCTTTCACCATTCCAAACGAACGGCTGTGATCAAGTTGGATGGAAACCCATCCTACACAGCGGGATGTGCTGTTCGGACCAACCACGGAATAGCGAGATCACAGCCGTTGATCCCGAAATCAACGGCTGCGATTTCGTGCAGTTCAATAAGACAGAACCGAAACCCTAAAATGGTATTTTGCTTCGTTCTCGCAAACTACTCAATGAATTTTTATGAAATTTTAAACATAAGCTCTACACATGAACATAAATCATGGGGTGGTGTTTGTTTGGGTTAAAAGCAGCTTTTTAGAAAGCTATTTTATCCTATGTGTAGTGACCTAATCTAAGGGTTTTTGTGAGATCTAACCTTTGGATTTTCGCGTTCTTAGGTTTGTTGCATTTGTAGATTGTCCACGCATAATTTCCTAGTTGAACACATGCTTCGAAATGCCTTGGATCGAACGGGAGAGGCTTTGGAAGCTTTTGATCCTCAGTTGGCCGGAGATCTCGCCGCCGGCGAGGTCTTGGCGGCGGGTTTGACTTGTAAAAGATGAGGGAAGGTGGGGAGAGCTCTCACACGAAATTCTCGGGCTTTGGAAGTCTAGGGAGAGAGAAAGCAAAGAAAAGTCCTTCAAACAAACCATAAAAGCTCTATTTATACTTCCATGCATTGTATGGACGGTTAGGATTGAATTGGGAGTCAAATAGTAGGGAAATTAGAGAGATTGGCCGTGGTTTTGAATTATAGACCATTAATAGGGCTTTAAATGCATTGAATGGGCTCTTAATGGGTTTAAATATGTTAATTTGACATATTAAGGGTTTGGTTTGACCAAGCCAAAGTTTGAGATTGGTTCGAGTTGATTTGAAATTGAATAAAGCTCAAATGGGCCTAATGGGTCAATTTGGGTCAAGTCAACTAGGTTGACCCAGGGCACAAGCTTGGGCCCAATGGGTTGGGTCTGACCCATTGGGTCAAGTGGAGGTTGGATCTGAGCTAAAAAGAGGTCAACACCGTGCTCGTGTGCTTGGACTGCACATGACCACCGCCCACGTCCTTCCTGCGCACGCTTCATACACAATCCACCCCTCAAGCCTCTTGCGCACAACTTCCGCCAGATAGCAGACCCACGCAACCACCTCCGCTCCTCTGATTCTATTTCTTGGACAAGAAACTTCATCCACTTCCACCTAATTTTGATACCACTTGTAGGATCTTAGAGGAAGATGAAGGTCCTTGAGCTTTCTTGAATGAGAGGGAGAGGGAGGAAGGGGAGAAAGATCAGAACAATGCTAATCTTATTACTTAATGGCTTTCTTTTCAATTACAACCTATTGCATTTATTTATTGACATCAATGGCTACACAAATATGCACATACAATAAAACTAAAGAAAGTACAAAGAAAATTTAACTAAAATCTAGATCAATATCCTAACAGAAAGTAGATGTATAAGATTTGACTTATGTTAAGAAAGGTGAGCTAGACCTAAAAAGACTTGGTTAGAGAATAATAGAAATGACATTTTTTTTATTAGATTTAAATGAGAATTTAACTTTTAACATGACACAATATAGAAAAAGAATTCATATAGCTGAACCCACATAGTGGGATAAAGGCTTGATGTTGTTGTTGTGGTTGTTAAAACATGAAAATCATTTTTTCTTGTACAAAAAGAAATGAAAGCATTTTGTTATTGAATAAATAAAAAGCTCTTAGGGAATTTACCATTAATTCCAATGCCAATTGACTTGATTTATTTAGAAGAGCGAAGCCCATGGAGCGGTCATAGGCATCTTCAGCTCATGATCCTATTTTCTGGTTAGTACAGGGGTTTGAAAGGGTGGGAGAAGGGCCTCGTTGCTGTAGACGTGCTATCTCGCTCATTGCATAGAGCAGATGATGTTTTGCATCGATTAAAAAAGCATTAGAGGTTAGGTATTTGGGAAAGGAGGGCATGTGATGGTTTTTTTTTTCTGGTAACTAAGATTTTTGGCACCCTTAAAAAATAATCATGTAAGTTTCTATGTAAGCTTACTACATCTCAAGTGGATAGTTATTAAAGACATATAATTTGATTTGATTAATATGGAATGTCAAAGTTCAAGAACTGGATACTTAATATGTAGAAAAAAGAATCATTATGAAGAAAAAAAACCCGATATCTCACCGTTTCAGATAATTTCATATGTTGATGAAATACTGGGAGATGGAATTGAAACAGTGATTAGATTTTGTTCCATATAATATCATTGTTTCCTGTATAATTTTTACTTGACCTTCCGTGTTTTCACTTTACTACTGCTTCATTAATTTTGAGAGCTATTAAGGAAGGATGACGCATAAATCGAGAAGTGGTCCAAATTTTTTGGTTGAGGTATTAGATTTGACTTATGTTAAGAAATGTAGAGGTAGACCCAAAAAGACTTAGTTAGAAAATATTAGAAATGTTATTTCTTTATTATATTTGAATGAGAATTTGACTTTTAACAAAACACAATAGCGAAAAAGGATTCATATAGCCGACCCCACATAGTGGGACAAAGGCTTGATGTTGTTGTTGTCTGTTTAAATAAAAAAGTTTTGCTTGGCCTAAAGCAGCATCCTCTTATTTTTTTTCTCAGCTATGAGGGAAATGCAGATCTCGCCAGACAAAGGAATGGCCTTAATCACACTGTAATCATCATCATTATTGTGGTTCTTGGAGTTTCTGTGACACTAGCTGCTCTTGTTACTTGCTTCGCATTTGCACGTAAAAGAAATAAGAGCCGTCAAAATGGTAAATCAAAATATCTCATGTTTTGTCAAGTCCTTCGATTCAAATGACCCTCATGATTCCTTAATGATCTTATCTTTCCAGGAAATGTTGCGAGGATCCAACAAACTAAGAAATTGAGTACTTATTTCAGTGAAGTTGCGACAGAATCAGCACATAGGTATGCATTGTCAGAAATAGAAGAAGCCACTGGAAAGTTTCAGAAGAAAATTGGTTCCGGAGGTTTTGGCATTGTATACTATGGAAAGTTAAAGGATGGAAAAGAAATTGCAGTCAAAGTCCTTACAAATGAATCCTACCAGGGTATTCGTGAGTTCTTAAATGAGGTGAGACCTCTCTCTTGCTCTTGCACAAGAGCTTAAAAAATCATTTTCTGGATCTTGTATCATTCTTCTTGACAAGAAGACTTGTGCAATTTAGAATGAATGGCTTGCAGCTTCTTATTTGGGGTGCTTTTGGAACTTTGTTTAGCTAGATTATGCTCTTGAATCAGCTAGACACTTGGGGTTGAACTAATTTAGTCCTTTTGACTATAAAACTCAGTGTAGCTTATTCTACTTCGTAAAAGACTTATTTGAGATCTCAGACTGATATGACAAGAAAGTTGAATTGGTTTTTTGATTTAGTTTAGATTGATTTTTTGAGTAGGATTCATTGATGGTCAGTTGAGGCAAATGTTATAAATGAAAGATGTTGACTGAAAAAAAAAAAGAAGAAAAAAAAAATGATCGAACAGATGAATCTTTCGACAATCTGGCCCCACTTCAAGTGATGCATGCCGAATGAGGCAATGTTTCGCTTCAATAACTATCATTCAGCGATTCAATCAATATAAGGGTAGAAATCGGGGAGAAAAAAAACTCACATTTAGTCCTGCTCTTTGCCTCCTGCGTGAAACCCGCCTGTTCATCCAACACACACAAGTCGATCGTGTGGCTTGTGCCCCCATCCGATTCGACAAATCCTGATCAAGCACTGTGCGTCCGACGGTCTAATCCAGTCTGACGTCAATCTTCGGCTTCATCTCCCACACGAACAACCCTTGTCTCCGCCTCCATAGACAGAATCGAGCGTGAATCCCATTCCGACCTATCCTTCATGTTTGATACCCCACTTCAGACCGATCACTTGCAACCCAATGTTTCCGATCCACGTGAACCCTTTGAGCCTAGCCGCTGACTTAGATCCATGTACCGCCGAACCAATCTGCACAATGTCTCCGGCTCACAATCTCTGTACCTGTTTCCTTCTTCAATAAGTGACTAGTCCATGTGAGCAAGCATTATACACGATCAACTTAGTCTTTGTCTCTGTCGTGTGAAGTACTATTTGCCTGCGCGAGTAATCCATTGGGCTACGTGATTTGCTTCAAGTTGCTTATACCCCGAAACAGGAAGATCTAAAATTCTAACTATTGGGGCACGCATTACCAACTCCAGTCAATTATATTGGTTCGAGGAATAAAAAAATTGATTTATATTTGTTATTGCAAGTCCATGTGAGCAAGCATTAACTTAAGCGCTGTCTATTTTTGGGGTTAGTTGATTCGGCACATAAGTTGTTACACACTTCTTAGCGAATTTTGGCTTCCATGACCATCGTCCTACTTTCTTAATTGACCAATGTCCTTGTGGCTTCTAGGTTAGGGCGTAGTTGGGCACAGTAACTCGGTGTCTAGTTCATCCCTCATCGTTAGTTCTACTTTCCAAAAATGACCCACTTGGAGCTCTTGATTCTACCTATTTAAACAATCTAGCCATCCTACTTATTTAAAGTGAGAGAATAGATCAAAGGCATCGTGCCTTCAATGCCTTTAATCATTGATTTTACTTGATAGAATTCCATGTGGGGCTCCAGCTGTTATGAGGGAAGCTTCAAATGAAACTAACAAGTAGATGGTTCGATTAATCTTTTGCCCCTACACCCAATTCAGACGAACGATTTGTGTGTGATATTGCTGCAGGCTTCTACCAGAGTTTATTCTGGTTTCGCCTGCTCAAGCGTAGTTCATCATCTTTCGGGTCCCGACACACATGCACTCGCTCGAATCCTTCACATAGATCTGGATCGGTCGACGGAGCACTTGTAAAAGAGGATCTTACACAACAGCTTCCTTGCACCCATCGGGCTTCAACACCTGTCAGCTCGCACGCATGCCTTGTTGTTGTTATAAGCTTATGTATCTCTTATATTCAATATTGTGTCACAAAAATGCTATTAAAGAAGCCAAAAAATTGTTTATACAATTAAACACACTCACCTGTCATTCTCAAATCCAAAGTACACCCCTGTTTATAATAAAACAAGGATCTTTATAGAAATCTCATAAATAGGATTACCTCATCACAATATTCTTCTTCTCACATGCATTTTGAAGCCACCAATTTCATGAGTAACGCTAGCCTAGAAGAGAGTTCGTTAATTGAGGGCTCAAGAGAGATTCTGCACGGAACTCTTGAAGAAATCTTTCTGATATAGTTGCTTGCAGACATAGGTTTGAATCTCAAGATGAAGACCACATGAACTCTGAGGTGCTTAATCAGATCCTGAAGACTCTTAGGATTCGTAACATGGATCAGGAGAAGGAATGTTGTTCAGAAGCATCATGTGGATCTAAGTCCTGAATTGTGAAATTTGATGTAGAATCTCAACAATCAATCTCCACTTTGATATGATGAGGAATATTCTGGACATCTCTTTCTAAATATAGTCAGTAAAATAGGATACTTTATGCAGCTGGAATTTTAGACGCTGTCCCAGTTAGAAATATCGAATTTGTAAGGAAAATTATCACAAGGATTCATTCTAAATATCAAGTATAAGTGTGATTTATCCCGTTTTATGATAAAAAAAAACTATGGTTTTCTCCCTTTTATTTCAGGTAACGCTGCTTTCAAGAATACATCACAGAAACTTGGTTACATTTCTTGGATACAGCCAACAAGATGGAAAGAATATACTTGTCTATGAATTTATGCACAATGGAGCTTTAAAAGATCACCTTCGTGGTAAGTCTGATTATTTTTTATAACATTATTTGAATATCTATTTGCTTATTTGCTTATTTTGACAGGATCTGCAGCTCTGAAAAGAACTGTTAATTGGATTAACCGTCTCGAGATTGCTGAGAATGCTGCAAGAGGTTGTGCTTATGATTCTTGCAAGCTACTTTTGAATCCATTTTATACAAATACATATAATGCATAAGCGGTATTTATATTTCAGGGATCGAGTATCTTCACACAGGGTGTTCTCCAACTATAATTCATAGAGATCTAAAAAGCAGTAACATTCTTCTTGACAAGAACATGGGTGCTAAGGTCGCAGATTTTGGTCTTTCAAAACCTGCTGTTGATGGATCCCATGTTTCAAGCATTGTTCGAGGGACTGTTGGATATTTGGACCCAGAGTAAGGCTTCAACTTTAAAGAAGCAAAAAAAAAAAAAAAAAAAAAAAAAAAAAAAAAAAAAAAAAAGAGACCCATCAGCAGCGAACAAAGAAAATATGGCTTTGTTTTTTTCTTCCCAAAATATTTTCGAATGCACTTTCTTTGAACATCAATGACATACTATTGTTTTCTGAGAATTAAAATTGTTGCTAATACATAGATGTTGGATTTGTTGACCATTTTTCAGATACTACACCTCTCAGCAGTTGACGGAAAAGAGTGATATCTATAGCTTTGGTATTATACTTCTTGAGCTCATTTCGGGTCAAGAACCGATATCAAATGAAAGATTTGGAGCCAATTTCCGGAACATTGTTGCATGGGTTAGTTCACTAACTGTTCTTTCAGATCCTGTCCCCCTTTTCCTTTCAGTTTTGTTTATTTGGACTATTTCTTTGATCCTGTGGCTTAATTTCAGTCGTGGCTTTAATCGTTTGTTCCAATTTAGGCCAAAGCGAACTCTTTTGCTAGCTGAAAACTGCAATTGCAAACATTACATTACGTCATTTGGTTTGAAGGAATATGAGGGAATGCAAATTCGTTTTACTTTCCTATTTTATTTCTCATCAGTCAAATATTAAAATAAATAGTAAATTTTCAATTAATTTCTCCTTGTGAAATCTAATTTCAATTCAACTCCTATCCATTCTATTTTCATTTTCTCTTTTAATTTCTAAAAGTCAAACAAAAGCCTAAGACTGTTTGGTATGGAGTTGAAGTCTACGCAAATTCATTTTACTTCACAATTTCAAATTGAGTGTTTGTTTACAAGGTAATCGATATGTAACAAATTTATTTAGAAATTTTGAACAAATGTTTTCTTTTTCCCATTGGCAATTCTCCACCAAAAACAGTGAAAATAAGAAGAAAATTTTATCCGATCATTGTTAGGACTAACATATCCTTCATTTCAAAAAACAAAAGCTTAATTTATCATCAATTAAATACAACAACAACATCAAATTTTTATCATACTACGTGGGGTTGACTTCACATATCATCAATTCATTTTACTTCACATATCATCAACAACAGCAGTTGGACCTGATTATATTCCAATAGAGGTGTGGAAACGGTTAGGAGATGAAAGAATTTCTTGGCTTACTAAACTTTTTAATACTATTTTGAAGACTAAAAGGATGTCAGATGAGTGTGTTAATTCCTATTTTTAAGAATAAAGGTGATGCACAAGATTGTGCGAATTATAGAGGTATCAAGTTAATGTGTCATACTTTAAAACTATGGGAGCGAGTTATGGAGCATAGGTTGCGGCGTGATACTAATGTTTCTCAAAATTAATTTGGATTCATGTCGGGTAGGTCGACTATGGAAGCCATACATTTATTAAGAGGTTTGATGGAGAAATATAGAGAAAATAAGGAGGATCTACATATGATATTTATTGATTTAGAAAAAGCATATGATAAAGTTCCAAGAGAAGTGCTATGGAGAGTTCTTGAAAAGAAAGGAGTTAATAATGCTTATATTCAAATCATTAAAGATATGTATGCAGGAGCTATTATTTGTGTTCAAACACAAGGTGGTTTGACCAAGTATTTCTCTATTTTGGTTGGGTTACATCAAGGATCAGCCTTAAGCCCATATCTTTTTGCTTTAGTCATGGATGTTCTCACTAGACATTTGCAAGAGGATGTACCCTGGTGTATGCTTTTTGCTGATGATATTCTTCTTGTTGATAAGACTAGAGAGGGTGTTGAAAGTAAACTTGAATTATGGAGGTCAACATTAGAGACTAAAGGTTTTCGTTGAGTAGATCTAAAACGGAATATATGGAGTGTAATTTTAGTAGTAATAGACCTAGTGAGGGGATTGTGACTTTGGACGACGATCAAGTCATTAATAAGAGTAGATATCTTGGATCTATTGTTCAGAGTGATGATGAAATTGATGGGGATATTATCAACATAATTCAAGTTGGATGGTTGAAATGGAGGAATGCATCGGGCTTGTTGTGCGATAGAAAAGTACCCCTCAAACTTAAAGGAAAATTCTATAAGATGGTAGTGAGGCCTGCAATGCTTTATGGTGCTGAATGTTGGCCATTAAAAGAGAAGCATAATACTAAGTTAAGTGTGGCAGAGATGAGGATGCTCAGGTGGATGAGTGGCTTTACCCTTAGAGATAGGATAAGAAATGAACATATACATGAAAAGGTTGGAGTAGCTCTAGTAGAAGATAAGATTAGAGAGAGTCGCCTTAGATGGTTTGGTCACATAAAACGGCGGCCTTCCAATGACCCGGTTAGGAGAGTAGAGGTATTAGATTTGGCTTATGTTAAGAAAGGTAGAGGCAGACCTAAAAGGACTTGGTTAGAAAATATTAGGAATGACCTTTCTTTATTAGATTTAAACGAGAATTTGACCTTTAATAGGACACAATGGAGAAAAATATTCATGTAGCCTACCCCACGTAGTGGGATAAAGGCTTGTTGTTGTTGTTGTTGTTGTTGTTGTTGTACGTGGGGTCGACTAAATGAATCATTTTTCTCCAAAATATATTAAAGGATTCATGTCATAATTATTCAACACATTTTACACTAGCTATCGACTATCTAATGTAACCCTCTATTTTTCTCATCCAGGGCTTCAGACTAGCAATGACAGTTTTTTCTCATTATTAAATAAAAAATTAAGAATATTTTTCACTAATTTCTCCTTAACTAATTAATTCGGTGAAAACTAATTTCTATTAGATTCCTTACCATTCGATTTCCATTTTTTTTTTTAATTTTCTTTCTTTGAAATCATTCAAACCAAACGAGGCCTAAAGGTTCTTTCTCACTGTTTGTTTCACTACTCAAGAACTAGGAGATGCACTTTTTAAGTGCTCGAAGTTCTTAATAAAACTGCAACAACTACATTAAAGTCAAGACAACTGCTCTCTTCATAACACATTGTATAAGTAGGGCCATTAAAATTAACTTAATTGTAACTGCATCAAAGTGTCTTCAACTCTAATTATATGCTGACCAACTTTAGGCTTCGTTTGTGACTGCTTTTTTTACAGCTTTTTAAAACAGCGTTTTAGTACAAAAATTAAAAATTTTGTACTAGAAAACTGCTTTAAGAAGCAGTAAGAAAGTCATCACAAACGAAACCTTAATCATAACAAAGATTAAACCATGGCTTTCTCCTGTGATGCAACTTCAGCTGCTAACAACTTAACCATCTTGGAATTCTGTTGCAGGCTACATCATACATTGAGGGTGGAAATATTCAAGCAATCATCGATCCGTCTCTTGAAAACGACTTCGAGCTGCAATCAATCTGGAAGATTGCTGAGATTGCTATCCTGTGCGTCAAGCCACAGGGAATTCAGAGACCATCAATATCATTGGTTCTCAAGGAAATTCAAGAGGCTATTGCCATAGAGCAAAGTTCAGGGGTAACTAATGGAGGTATGATGATGACTGGAAACTCTCCAAGTTCTTCCTTGAATTTGGATTCAGTGGCCCTCACTGGCTCTGAGACTCAGATGAATCCTTCTTTTCTTAAAGTTTTTTCCCAACCAGTTCTCAGATGATATTTAGGCGTTGTTTGGGACTGCTTTTTTACTGTTTTTTAAAGCAGCTTTTTAATATAAAAAATAAAATTATTGTATTAAAAAGCTGCTTTAAGAAGCTGTTAGAAAGTCATCCCAAACGAAACTTTAATCTTTTACATAGGATCTCTTCATCTCATTTGGTATGAATTGATATGTTTTTCTAGGGATCATCCTTGTGTGTATTTTGTTGATAGGGTGAAGCTATATTCTGGAATGTGAAGTAGAAGTGCCATGATTTTGTTATTAGTTGAGAGGCCTTTTGGTTCATTATTATTTTATCTGTGATGTCAATATTTTGCATTTGAATTATTTAATTTAGTTAAATTTAATTGAGTGTAGGGTTAATTTAAATAAACTTAAATTGATTTTCATTGATTTAGGATTAATTTGAGACAATTATTACGTTCTTGTTAATTTTTCATTGCTTATAAAAAATATTTAGAATGAAAAGTTATTTTTTGCAATCAAAATAGTTAAGTTGTTTTCTCTACAGCAATTTCGTCAACTTTATAAAATGTTGTAGCTATCTCAAATAAACTCTAATGACTCGATTGAAATTAGTCAGAAATCAACAGGATAAATGGTACTTATGCATGTGTGCATGTATCCTTTATTTTTTTTTTTTTGGACATATTAGGGGATTCGAGTGTGGGTGAGATCAGGAGGAATTTTTTTTTTTATCGATCAATTGGCCTACAACCCGTTCTCACATTTATCATTTTGAGCGACTATCTTTAAACGAGAGTAAATTGATTTTGATTTGTGGGGAATATATCTATGCATGACTCATGAAGTTGTGGAGCAAAACATTTTTATAATAAAATATTGAAAATATATAGATATAAGATGGTTAATTGACTTTTAGAAAATCTTATAGGAATTGTAATAAATTATGTTCACAAATTCATCTCTTACAAGCAAAGGCTTAGAAGGAAGGATTTGATCTCACAATCATAAGCAAATAAATAGAGTATAAGAGGGGGAAGGGTTGGTTGTTAATAGCAAATAGAGTTCTTTAGATGCTTATAGGAAGAATATTTTATACTTTTGAAAGAAGATATTTGTTTTAGTTATTGAAGATATTGATAAAAGACTATCTATATCTAAGAATGCTCTATAAGTTCTCAAAAGACTATCTACATCTAAGATTTGACCAAATCATGAAAGAATATAGGAAGAAAAATAGGATCAAGGGCAAAAGAAACATAAAGAGACAATGAATGTCATGGTATAATCAAGATGCATTGATACTTAGTGTGAAAGTCAATTAGAGACATCTTTTTCTTCAAATAAAGATCTAATGATAATATACTACATAATAAATTTCGTCAATACATTTTTTGCTGATGATGATCCCTTAAATATTAAGGATATTAGAAATATAATAATGTAGATGATAAATAGAAACATCTAGAACCTAAATAAAGTCGGGTACATCCCTCGCTAGATAATAAACTTTCTCCACATCAAACAAATAACTATAGAAGCAAATTAATTGAATTCACATTGCATGAAAATTATATTTGAGAAAAATAGAGTCATATCAGTTTTTCTATGATCAGAAGAACTAAAGACCACAAAGTTAAAGCTAGGGCATACAAATTAATGTTAATGGTCTCCCATCACTTTCTTAACAGGATCATTATATTAAATCACTTTCATAAATAAAAGTATCATGAAGGTATAGGTTTATTTTATTAAGAATAAATTTGACAGTGTTTATCACTTATGTGAAATTAAAAAGCTTAATGAAAATTTAAAACTAGACAATGAATGAAGTGCATAAGATCTAATAATGTTATAATAATGCAGTGTATTAACTTTATATAACTCAAAATTTGTATTGTTGCACATACAATCAGGATGAATCTTTTTGTTGTTCATTTTGGATATTAATTTCCTCACTAGAAAGTAAGGCATAAAGAACATCAAGATCTATGGGATTGAGATATGTTCTAATGGCGGTTTTGAAGGAATTATATGAAGAGGGAAGGCCGTTCAAGATGTATAAGATAACATCTTCTTTGTCAATTTTTGATCCTACAGCCGCAATATTGTCTACAAGAATTTTGATTTGAGCGAGATATTGCTGCATGAAGCGATATCCCACATTTAAAGCTGATAGAGTTCGTGTTTGAGTTGGATTACACAAGATCTGTTGGTCGGTTGGAGACGTTTCTCAAGAATGGACCAGATTTCTTGAGCCATGGAGGAAGAGATAACGTAGGGGAGGATGGAGGGAAAGATGGTAGACATTAGAGTGGAAATGAGATTTCTGTCAACAAGATGCCAAAGGTGAAAATCAGGATGAGAAGAGTTGGTCAGTCTTGGGGTGTCACCAGTGAGATGGCTGGCAAATCCATTTGCGGAGAAGTGTTGAAGACAACAAATGGCATATGTGTCGACGGTAAGTTAATTGGGTGGAAACCAAGTTCTTGAAATTTGAGATCAAGAACTTCAATGAAGGTGGGACGGTGAACTGAGATAGTGCCGCGCAGAGTGGATTGAGTTGGATGGGAGGCTGCAGAATCTTGATCAGCCATGGATGAGATCTGATACCATGAAGACCCTGCTGGCCAAGAGAAACTAAGAAGGAAGAAGAATAAGTGAAGAATATTGTATTGATATCCTTATAATAGTACATAATAATGTATATATAGACAACATTGAATTAAGATAGTATAATGAAACAATTTAGCATAAGTTGAATCAGTGACCTATGTACACACACTAACAGAGAGAACATGATAAATAAAACTCTCATGTCACCAAAGATATGCTTGATTCAAACATAATAAATAGTATTTCATTTGATATGATGGAGATGAGTTCGACAATATAGTTTAGCATAGTGAAAGAATTTACTATAAGATATCGTATTGATAAGATCTGGGGCTCACAAATTTTTCCCTTTATTGACTTTTTCACATAAAAGATCTCGTATTTACTATAAGCTACTCTTGACTTATTTATTTGTGCTTGTAAAATTTTTAGACAATATTAAGATGATCAATTAATTCTCTCTCTACTACTTAGAATGTTCTAGAACAAACAACAATAATAACAATTAATATTAATAAAAAGCATACCAATTAATGAAAAATAAATTCATTAATTTTTTTATAATTAATTAGGGTGAAAATAAAAAATTGTTTGATTGGTTAAACTAGATATAAGATAATTATTTATTTTAAAAACTAATTCTATTAATTTACTTGTGATAAAAATAATTGATGTATTAATTAATATAATTAATTTGATTTGTTAGGGATCAAATAACAATAGAACTAATCAATAATGATATCTAGTGCAATTAAACATTCTGATTAATATGAGATAGACTACTTAACTGATAAGTAGTTATTAATTGACTAATTAGTAATCGAATATTGATTGGAAAATAAATAAAATAATTGTTTATTTATGCAAAGTGAATAATTGTGACATAAAATTACCCAATAATAATATTAATAAATCATGAATATAATAAATTAATCGAATAAAAAATCAAATAACTAGCATAAGTAATTGAACAAAACTTAATTAATCTAATTACATAAAATTTAAATATCAAATAGTGGATGTAAGATAAATAATTTAAATCTTTACATTATTAAATCATAAGAAAATAATCAATAATCAATTATATAAAATATATGATTGTGATATTAAATTACATTATATTCGTTGATTATGATAATAAATCAATTGAACACGCCATCAAGTATCATAATAATTATATAGCTGGCTTAATTAATAAATTTTTTGTTAATTCTTAATAATTTAAATGTCAAATTATATCACCAATTAAGAAAATAAAATAGTAATTATAGTTAATTAAGACATGATATAAGTTATCTTAATTATGTGAAACTTGTTATAACCCAACTTAATTAACAAATAAATGTAGTTCTCTAAAAGTCATTCATGTCAAACATATAAATATCATTAAAATTAAAGTTTAATGAGGTTGACTTTTGAAATTTAGCTTTAACCATTTTGAAAAATTAAATTAAAATAATTTAAACTTTTACTAAAAAATCAAATTTCTACCTATAATTCAACCCAAGCTCCTAAAAACAAATCTCCAGTCAAAAATAATCTTTTAAATTATATTTGACCTTTTCTTAGATGATTATTGCAAAGCAATAAATTCTTTTTAAAAAACATAATCTAATATAATAATAATAATAATAATGAAGAGTAGAAAGAGCCAAGATAAAAATATATTGAGTGTTTCAAACTAATAAATAAGGGAGGTGATCAAGTCTTAAAAAAGGTTGAGCGCTCATATCTCACAATATTTTTATATGGTTTGAAGAATTTATAGTAAAATTGTGTCAATATTATTAATAAAGCCAATAGATTAGGTGACTAATTAACAATCACATATTGATTGGAAAATAAACTCTTAATGACTCGGTTGAAATTAGCTAGAAATCAACTATTAAGTACTTATTAATTGACTAATTAACAATCACATATTGATTGGAAAATAAATAAAATAATTATTTATTTAAGCAAAGTAAATTATTATGACATAAAATTACCGTATAATAATGTTAGTAAATCATGAATATAATAAATTAATAAAATAAAAATCAAATAACTAGCATAAGCATTGGAACAAAACTTAATTAATCTAATTACATAAAATTTAAATATCAAATAGTTGATGTAAGATAAATAATTTAAATCTTTACATTATTAATTCATAAAAAATAATCAGTAATCAATTATGCAAAATATATGATTATGATATTAAATTACATTATATTCATTGATTATGATAATAAATCAATTGAACATGCCATCAAGTATCATAATAATTATATAGCTGTCTAATTCACATTCTCTTTCTGCTGGGACTGCTAAGCCTCAAGCTTTGGTTCTCTCTTATTTGGATGTTAATGAGGAGAAGGTTGGGGAGGGTCTGAATGTTATGGATCTTCAGTTATAAGGATTGTAGGATGTGATGTTGTTCCTGTGGCTTAGGATGAGGGTTATGTTGTTTCGGATATTGAAAATGTTAATGCTGGAGGTTTTAACGGGGAGTCTGGTAACCCTGTTATCAGTGTTGGTTCTAGTGGGTTTAAGGAAGGTGCTTGTATCAATTTGGATATTGCGGGCATGAATTCTACTGTTGTGAGTGCCATGAGCCCTATCCCTTTCTTGGTTAATCATGTTTATATCCCAATTCCATCTCCCACTAATGTTGATGATGAGGAAGAATTTTTTTCTAATTATTTGATGCCAGTTTGTCTGACTCCTAACTCTA